ACCCGGCACAGCTGACTCGGTCTGGAGACCCTGGTGAGGGTGGCAGGCACCGGACTGGACTGAGCACCGCACCCCGTGCTGCTGGCACGGCTGTACATAGGTTATATGTTCATATTGGATTGTGCCTTTGTACCATAGCACTCCTTTGACAGTGTTTCGTGTTTTACACGAGATCTTTTTTTTCTCCCTTCCCTCCCCTTCCTTATGTGACACCAAAGATCGGGGTTTTTTTTTTTTTGAATGCTCTTAAAATAAAAGTCTCTTCCATTTTGGAAGGCCTTTGGAGATAAGTTGGAGTGCTGGTGTGTGTGCATAGGAAGCTCCTGGCTTGCTCCTGGCTGCCTGTGGATTGTGCTGCTCCAGGGCTGCCTTGTCCTGCTCTCCAGGCTGGAGCTAACACTCAGACCCTCTGTCCCCTCTCCCTGCCCCGGGGCAGACGTAATTACTGCTTCCTTGGGAGCAGCTCAACTGATCAGACTTGTTAGAAAGAGCTTATGTTTGCAGAGCTGGTGAATGCGCTGAGGGAGGCACCCCCGCGCTGTTCCTGGCTTCTCGGGCTGATGGAGTGGAGCAGCCCAGGTAAAGCGAGACGGATTCGGCACAGAGCCTGGCAGCCCAGCTCCCAGTCTAGGCTGCCCGGGTGAGCCTCCTGCCCTGGACCCGGAGGGGCCCGCTCCCGGGCCGTGGTGTAAATCGCGAATGACTTCAGTCAGTTGATTTAGAGAGCGGTGCCTGCCAGCTTCTCGTGTTACAAGAACTCCGGCTCTCTGCAGGACAAGCCTGACACGAGTGCTCCTGTCTCCTGGCTGACAGGCTGCAGCAGGTGCTGGGCACCACCTCCACCTGGACTTAAAAGCACAGAGCTGTTCCCAGCCCTGAGCACCAGCCAGGCTCTGCTTGATGATTAATGCTCTGCATGTGTTTTTGATAGAGTTGGGCATTTCCTCTGCTGTTATATGGAAAACATGTGTCTGGGGGAGTGATGTGGGGCTGTGCGGACTATCTCTCTCTGTAACTGTGAGCGGCAACTGACCCCTTTGACTTGGGGATGCCCCATTTCCAGGCAAGATGCGAGCCCTAGATAGAGGTGAGCAGCAGTCTTGGGTTACAGCTTGTATTGCCCTTAACAAGTCCTAACTCAGAGCGGACAGCTTTAAAATGTGCCAGGATCCACTGAGGATTCCTTCCAAATCCTGCTGCAAAAGCTTGTTGGATTTTGTCTGGATCAGCCAGGTGCTTGACTGCATCCAGGTGCTGGGGAAATGAAAACTGGGGAGAGTGCGAGACCAGACAGATCAAACCTGCTGCGGTTTGAATCCCTCCCCAGCTTTCCTCCCCTTCTCCCTGGATACAAACCCATCCTCCTGATGTGAAAATACTTCTTGGGATGGATTTGGGAGGGGGAGGAGGGCGGGGTGCGTCCAGGATCTCTCTGCAGGGTGTACTGATGAGGTTGGGGTCAGTGGCAGCTCTCTTTTAAAAGGGGCTGCAGGGGCTGATCTCCCTGGGTGGTGCAGAAGAGCTTCCCCTTCTCTATCTTCCAGCACCTTGCCGGTCTGCCTGCATTGCTACCCTCACGGTGGCATCTCGCAGCCAGGTTTTGTGTGCCAGGCTTGGGAATACTGGATTTGCTGTCCCGAGGCAGGCGTGTAGCTGTATGGGCTGAGCCTGCCTTCCCTTCCGTCAGCCATAGTGTCACCTTTCTGTGCTGGAGGTACCGCGGGCAGGACTGAGCCCACCTTGTGTTCAGAGAAGTGCTCGCAGGACCTGTCTGTCTGGGAATCGCATCAGACCAACTCCTGCTGCTGGATGGCCTGTGTGGGGCTGATGCAGACCAGTAACACATCACCTGTAAGAGCTGAAGCTGTTCCAGCTTAGCAGAGTCTTCCTTTTCTGCTGAAGCAGTTGATTTGGAAAGTGCATTAGAAAAAAAAGACTTTGCTGTAGGCTAATGCAGAACACATAGCAGATCCAGGAATGAAAGACAAAATGAACCTATTTGCTAATGGAGTTTAAATAGCCTAGTATAAAGCAGATATGCCATGCTTGGACCGGTTTCTCCAAAGCTTTTTGTGTTTACTCTATCCCACAGCCTGTTGACATGAGAGATCTGCTTGAGTTTGTGAGCTTTGAGGGGATCAGAGCAATTCCCAGGAGCCGCGCTCTTGATGCCAATTCACTGAGCCTGTGACAAATTGGGATGACAAATGCAGGCTGTGGGTCCGTGGATCATTATGTGCAGGAGTCGCCCTTCAGGTGCAGCAAATGCCTTCAAACTGGTCTTGTGGGATGAGCAGGCAAGGGTGAGGGAGGGATGGGGAGTGCCAGGGAAGTGGCAGGGCTGAAATGCTGGATGGTGGCCTCTCGTTTGGCTGTGGCCCTGCGTGGGGCTGTGCAGGACAGGTAAGAAAAGGGACTGGACTCAGTGCTGCCAGATGGGATGCAGCTCCTGTTGGCTTCCCTGGACACCCTGGGGAGGGCTGGAGCCAGGTCTGTCCCTCTCAGATAATCGCTCTTGGGCTTGTAAGCAGTTTGCTACTATCCGGTGCGTGCGTTTGCAGCCTGGAGAGCGCTGAGCTGGAGGGAGCAGTGCTCCATCCCTGCCTGCAGCGCACCTTTCCCCCACCCCTGCCTGCAGCGCACCTGCACGGGGGTCTGCGGGCAGGGGGCTCTGCCTGCCTCCCCCAGCACCCTGCCATGCCCCCCACCCACCACGGGGCTTACATCCCCGGCTGCCCCTTGCATCCCTGCAGCTCTCTTCCGTCGGCC